CGAGTATATACTGCTATAACGTAATAAAGTACTGCTCAATAAAGCACTACCCACTCTGAACGGGGTCTTAATATCGGGAAATTTCTTATCAGAGCTCATAGTTTCACGTATCAGGAATCGCATTTACGCATACCTTTTCCGATGATGCTTAAACGGCATGCTCGATAATCCAGCTGGTCTCCTTCCACGAGGTATGGTACCGTTGGTGCATCGCTTGAATGTCTGCTCATACGTCGGTTAGAAGATGGCCACACCTTACGAAACACGCGGCGAATATAAGTTAGCTTAGCATCTCGCATATCAAACGCTCTTGCAGTTGTAACTATAGGAATTTGATTTGAATTTATTGATAATTGAATTTAATGATCCTAAAATATTTTTGCCATCGGATCTCTATAGTTCCACATGGCCAATTAAAGTTTCTTCAGTTACTTTTGACTTTAATTTGGATGTAACTGAGATAACTTATCTCGGCTAGCACGAACTACAAATGTCGTTTTGCGTGTAATATGGAAGGGTCGACGATATCGTGCGCATTCCACGTTACCTCTGTACTGGGCAGCGGCGGACGCCTGTTGGTGATTGGCGCCCTTGCGTGTACCCGAACCAGGGACTCGGTGCGCCTGCACCCAAGTACAGCTGAGCTGGCATTCCTAAGGGGCGCAGCAGCTGCGGGCGTACGGCCGGAATGCCGAGGAATGAGTTTTATTCGTGGAATTCCATCATTTTTTTAATGTAATGCGCTCTACGGTCCATCGTCTGCGCGAACAAAAAGTTCAAGGGCTGTCAGACTCACACTAGGCATGCGGCCATAATGAGATTGAATCAGCGGAGCTTGCTTAATGATTGCCAATAAACGGGTTCCAAGCCTCTCTAATGTGTCAGCGATTGTTAAGTAAACCTACGCGAATGTGAGGGATCTGGAAGACTACGCACCTGAGACTTAGGGTGGCAGGAAGGGTTCCGCCAGGGGGGGGGCATTGTGGCCGCACAATGTGTTCGTCCAGTGCGGCCCGTGATAGTCGCTTAGGACAGCAGGGTGATGAAAAGTTCGAGCTGACCTCAAAAAGCACCACTCAAGTATATTAGTGAGGGCTTCTACCAGAAGCGCATAGCTTAACCCATATGGTGCCCGGTGGGGTGGGGGGGGAGAGTGAGGTGGCGTGTTCTGTTGAAGGGCTGCGCAGTTGGTATTGTAATGTCTGTACCATTTCTCTGGGGTGGCAGTCTCACGCCTAGCTAAGCGACAATTGTTTCACATGTCCCTTGTTTATTGCCGCTCTGTTCGGCTCGCGAACTTACAGGTTATTGATTGTGCGAAGAATCTAAAATACAACTAGATAGCTCTGATGACGTGCCGCCTCGTAATCTGAATATTAGTCGTAAAGTATTTCTTCAATGACCTCTCAAGTAGCCATTTAAACGCCACTAACTTATGCAAAGGTTGACAAATGTTAAAGTTCGAATTCATGACCTGCTGGTCATCGCGCTGCATCCTGACGACGGACATAATTAATAGATGGCCGCTCTATTCACTACAGTCGTTAGGAAACAAAGATTAATCACGGTTCTTACCTCGCATTTATAGCCGTAGATCTACCCACGCACGATGAGTATTGTCGCAGCAGCACCACCCAACGTGCAGAGTTAACTTTCATTTCCGGGTCCTTTCTGCCTCGGCCTCCAAACGCTTCCTCGGCAGTTCCTGAAATCACACAGAAACGGTTAGATATTTTACCTCATTTCGCGACGTCACATATTATATTATTTATATTTATATATTGCCGACATTCAGTATCTTTTCATGCGCATGTATTAGTCAGTGTATTATAGCGTGAGGGGCTATTTGAGATTAAAATAGCCAAAAGGAGCATGAAGCGTAGCGTTAGGCAAGGTAATTAATCATCATGCAGTTAAACATATCTGCGCACCTTCACTGTACAGCAAGCAATTTTGGCAAGGTTCCTGTTTCTGTTTTTCCTTTCCTGCCTTCCCCCGTTGGTCCGGGGGAACTCCAGCTTCAATATCTAGTCCGTTCATCCCGTATGCTTGCGCAGTAGTACGCGATGAATCCTATGGAAGGACAAGCAAAACTGTTACTAATTAATCACCCATGCCTATAAATTTTCTAGTTATTGTAGAGACCGCTGTGACGATGACAACAGTGCTAACACGCAACATTAGTATTTAAAATGAATGTGAGAACGTGAGGTATCCCCCTGGGGTTTAAACCTTATCCTACGGAATGATATCCGGTAGGGTTTCTCACAGTACATTACTTAGAACAGTTTGGGTAGTGAAGTTTATTCATACCTCAATGAAGATTTGCCTCTGCGTCCCTCGTCAGAGCCATTGTCTCGCCGCGGTAATTAACTGGATGAAAGCGCTGAAACCTCCCTACTGCCTAGCAAAAACCTTCATCGTATGTAGTTGTCCTTCTTTTTGAGCTACAACTCTTCTGCTACAAATCTGCAAAACGGACAGCGAAAACAGGCGACTAATGTATGGGAGTAAATGTGCCCCTCTGCACTTGGTAAACCCAGCCTATGTATGCAGTTACCCTTATTGTCTATAGCTAAACGAGGAAACGCTTCCTTCGACCTGTCGTCCGTTAAAGTCGTAAGTTTGCAATCTAAACCGTCTGCGCGTTAATGTTCACAAACGCGATAAATGAGATGAGGGCAGAGTTCTTGCTGGATATCTCGGGTAATGACCTCGCTGCTCCCTGGCTCGATACTGCTGACAAATTTGCTGAGTTAGTGCTAGACGCTCAGGTAGTCGCCGCTCTGCTAGAAGGTGCGCAAAGTTGTTTGCTGTAGTTACTATCATTAAGATTGGTGACAAAATTAAATCACCGGCGACTCGTCAACGATTCGGGGCCAAAACGCTGGCCAGACTCTAAAAATCATATATTACAAAATTCAATTTCAACGGTCCGATCGTTGACCGTTGAGATTGCCGTTAGTACGGGTTCGCACGAGGCCCCTGTCTACCTAATATTTAATAATATAATATCTCCAAATACATGGCGATGACACGAACACACACTGCGTCGAGTAGGGAAAGACGCACGTCAGGTGAGAATAGTAAGTACGTACGCCAGTCCAGTCGTAATCTTGTCTCACAACGAGGGAGAACTCGTAGTTTAAGGACTTAAAATGGTGTGTTTTTGAATAAGTACCGCTAATCATTGTGACTTACCATTGCATTGAGGCGTCTTTGCAGACAGGATAGCGACTAGGAGTAATAGTATGACGGATCTCATCTGTAAAATCAGCAATGAAAGGATGCAAATTATAGCAAAAGAAGTTCTTTAACATGGAAATGCTCATTGCTAGTTAGATTACGCCAATGCTAGAGTAACAATCAACACGTACGCACGCGTACACGCAGGCACGCGCGCGCACACATAAACTCGGTGTTCCCGAATAAAACCATTTGTCAGCATGTAAATAACATGTAAGTATACATATGCTGATTGTTATGGACGGTGGTCACAGACGTTTGAGATCTTTAGAGTGAACACGATTGCACTTTCTTTTCGGGATACATAGTGACATGTCTCGTATTATTGCATATATATTGAAAAAGAACAATCATTTTGAAATCCGCTTGAGCTGAGAACCCGAGCTGACATGGTAAGCATTTGTTACGTTATCTTAACGCTACTAGATTAATTTACGCAATAGAATCGTACTTTTTTTCTTCGTGTAGCTCTATATAAGGAAGACCAGGGATACGGTAAGATCACTCAACTGCATTGGTGGCGGACTGAACACCGACTTAGAACAGTCTCGCATAATGAAATACGCTGAGAATCATTGTGAACAGGCGTCGAGTGGCAAAGACTGCTGGCACATATAGGAAGGCAATACAACGGTCTCGGCTTTCATTGTCTTCTGCATTGTGATAATTAATTCATTCGTTGACGTCAACCAACGCTGGTCGTTGAGCGATATCGGCATAGGCACAGTGGCGTTCCCACGGCTGAGTCGTTGTATGTGTTTGCTCTGCTAAACATCCAACCAGATCAGACAGCCGCCGCTTGACTGAACTCCAAAAACCCGGACCGCTCCCAGAATACGAATAAAATGTCATTGTAGCCCGCGCGTCTCTATAAATATCTACTGATAATAGATCTAAGTCGGCATAGGTGTTCCATCAGCTGCTGTCCTATGGATATTTTGTTTGCGATATTGTCACGTTAGTCGTGGGTTATGTACATCGTGGGAACTACTTAGACAAGGCGCCATATCTCTGATACGGTGTTAATGCACAGGCATGTATATATTTTTTGGTTCTCCTTCTCCGTCTCTCATTTTCTTTCTCTCTCTT